GAACTCTTTCAAAGTCTGTAAAACAGAGTCTTGAGAAGAATTCTGAGAGTATTCAAATCATCTTCTATTAAAGTAATGAAAATTGAAGCTTCAATTTCTTCTTCTACTATTAGATTTGAAAAGACCTGTATAAACTATACTCTGAGAGTTGTAAAGATGAGCTTGAATCATATAATCAGAGAAAGAGTCTCTTCTTCATTTTCATTAATTAACTCTGAAAATGAACTGGATTGAAATAGATTTCTTGATTGAAATGAAAATAATTCTTCAAAGAAAATATCTTCTTAACTATACAGACTATGCTCTCTGATTAAAAATCAATTTTCTTCTTTAAATATTGAAAAAGTTGATCATGAGAAGTTATCTCTCTGAAGAGAAAAGCTTGAATCTCTTATAGACTTATAAATAAGTGAACTATTAAAAGAGAAAGAATATGAATAGTATTTGAAGAGAATTTCTACAATCAATATAAAAGACTCTATTCTGATTTATTCAGATGACTTAAAAAATGAGAACTTGAATAGATTAGATACAGACATTGCTTATACTGAAGATAATATCAATTTTATCTCAGATTTCTGAAATCTAGACTCTGAATATGAAGTCTTTGATACTGAACTATTTATAATAGTGAAAGCTTTCAAACTCATTGAAATAAAATCTTATAAAAGAGAAAATTGTTTGAAAGAGATATGAATATTCTCTGATAGTTAAGCTGCTTTAAAGAGACTTAGAAATAGTCAGATTTATAATAATCAAATAAATCTTGAACTGATCTTAAACTCTATTTTAAAAATTCAAAAGAGAAGAATATCAAAGCTGATAATTCATCTATACTAAGTTTCTGCTTATATAAATATTCATGATAATGAATTAACTGATTCAGCTGTAAAAAAGAGTGCAGAATTAAGCAGATATATTCAAAAAATTATATTCTAGTCTTTTATAAAGAGAAAAATAAAAGAATCTTATTTAGATAAGTGAAATGAAAGCTGATAGAAATAAAAGAAGAGTATATATTATTCAAGATTTGAAATAAAATTCAAGTGAAAATCTTGTTTAATTAAATATAAAAAGAAAATATTCTCATCTATAATACAGCTGAAACTAGAACATGACTATTTCAAATCTTATATACAAAGATTTGATGATAGATTTAACTCAATAGAATGCTCATTCTGTAATACAAATGAGAATTCTGAGTATATTATAATACACTGTACATTATACAATAGTCTCAGAGTCAGATTGAAAGAGAAGTATAATCTAAATTAATTAAATATAAGATTCTTATTCTCAACTGAGACAGGAATTAAATACTTAATAGACTTTCTATCAGAAACTCAAGCAGCTACAAGAAAATGACTAAATTCAGAATTATCTGAATATGAAGAGGAGGAAATCAACCAGATATAATCTGTTAAAACAGCTATATACTATCTTTTAATAATTTGTTTTGTTACAGTCTGTCTTTATTTTATCTTTTTCTTTCAATTTCTTTCTATCTATCTATTTAATGTGTCTATCTTTAAGACTGTGTTCTCTTTTCCTTTGTCATGATATTGTTAAATGATTTCAAAGTATGAGATGATGTTAAAATACTGCAATTTGTAAACAGTTTTTGTATTCTGAGCTGAAATTTTCTGATTTTGCATATCTGAAATTGATGAATGTATAATAGTTAACTTTACAGATATAGGAAAAACTCTGAGAACTTTTAGTTCTCAGATAGATGTCATAGTCTCTGACTGCATACATCTATAATTGAAGAATAATAATAATAATGTCTAAGAAACTGAGTCTTGTTAAATGTAACTATGAAATCTATAATAAGAAACTTCTTATAATTGTATACTATTTAGAAGAATGAGACTCTGAACTCTGAAGTATCTCTGAATTTGAGATAATCATAGATTATAAAAATCTTAAGTACTTTATAATTATTTATAAACTTATGAAATAATAGATATAATAATCTAAGTTTTTAAACTGCTTTTATTTTACAATATACTATTATTCTAATAGTCAGAACTTAATAACAGATGCTCTTTATTATTAATATTATTATTCTTCAATTATAGATATATACAGTCAGAGACTATAACATCTACCTGAGAATTAAGAGTTCTCAGAGTTTTTCCTATATCTATAAAGATAACTATTGTACATTCATCAATTTCAGATATGCAAAATCAGAAAATTCCAGCTTAGAATACAAAAACTGTTTATAAATCACAGTGTTTTAACATCTTCTGATACTTTGAAACTATTTGACAATATCATGACAAAAGAAAAGAGAACACAGTCTTAAAGATAGATATATTAAATAGATAGATAGAAAAGAATAGAAGAAAATAAGTACAGTAAAGAGAGACTATAACAAAATAAAATTATTAAAAGATAGTATATAGCTGTTTTAACAGACTATATCTAATCAATTTTCATCTCTTCATATTCAGATACTTCTGAATTCAGTCATTTTCTTATAGCTGCTTTAATTTCTGATAGAAAGTCTATTAAGTATTTAATTCCTGTCTCAGTTGAGAATAAGAACTTCATATTTAATTAATTTAAATCATACTTCTTCTTTAATCTGACTCTGAAACTATTGTATAAGACATAATATATTATAATATACTCAGAATTTTCATTTATATTACAGAATAAGCACTCTGTTGAATCAAATCTATCATTAAATCTTTATATATAAAATTTGAAATAATCATATTCTATTTTCAGCTGAATTATAGATGAGAATATTTTCTTTTTATATTTAATTGAACAAGATTTTCACTTTAATTTTATCTCAAATCTTGAATAATGTATGCTCTTCTTTTGTTTCTGCCAGCTTTTATTTCACTTATTTAAATAAGATTCTTTTATCTTTCTCTTTATAAAAGATCAGAATACTGTTTTTTAAATAGATCTGCTTAATTCTGAACTCTTTTTTACAGCTGAATCAGTCAATTCATTATTATAAATATTTATATGAGTAGAAACTCAATGCAGATGAATTATCAGTTTTGATATTCTTCTCTTTTGAATTTTCAAAACTGAGTTTAAAATCAGTTTAAGATTTATTTGATTATTATAAATCTAACTATTTCTAAGTCTTTTTAAAGTAGCTTAATTATCAGAGAATATTCATATCTCTTTCAAACTATTTCCTCTTTTATGAGATTTTATTTCAATGAGTTTGAAAGCTTTCACTATTACAAATAGTTCAGTATCAAAGACTTCAGATTCACAGTCTAAATTTCAGAAATCTGAGATAAAATTGATATTATCTTCAGTATAAGCAATGTCTGTATCTAATCTATTTAAATTCTCATTTTTTGAGTCATCTGAGTAAATCAGAATAGAGTCTTTTATATTAATTGTAGAGATTTTCTTCAAATACTGTTCATATTCTCTCTTTTTAGATAGTTCACTTATTTATAAGTCTATGAGAGATAATTTATAAACACTCTTTAAATAAGAATCTATCAAATTCTTAAAATTATATACTATCTATTAACTGTCTATTATTCTGAGACTGATAATATATTAGAATAAATAATTCAGACTGTAAGAAATTATCTTTATAAATTTTATAATTATTTATAAAATAATTAGTATAATCTGCTTTTATATACAGAAATTACTATTAATGAATAAGATGTTATTTTAATAGATATAAGCTTATTCTTTCTTATACACAGTTATTATATAAAGATATTAAATCTTTTAAAGACTGTATAATTTATACTAAATCTCTGCAGTTTAATTCAGATTACTGATAATATAGTAATAAAGCTTTAAGATATCTGTATCTGAGCAGAGATCTTTATAATAACTAAAAAATAAGATTAAGAGAATTAAATTAATATTCACTGAGACTCTACTGAATAATATAAGATAAAAGACTTAATATAATTAAATCTTAAAAATATATAGATTATATATTTATCTTATACACTGAATTATTATTATATCAAGTATAAAGTAATAGAAGTTCTAGATAGTTATAACTACTATCTTAATATATTATCAGAGATTTATAATATCTTTTATATAAGCTTACTCTGCTGTATTATTACTGATCTATTCTCTTCTTAACTAACTTCTAACTAACAGTTATCAGATATTATAGAAGAAGATAATAAGCTTGAGTAAGAGACTAAGAATATTCTTAATAACAGATCTCACAGCTGTAGTTAATAATATCTTATAAAATGAGCTAAGTATAATTATCTGATCTAAACTCTGAGTTTTATATTATTTAAAACAGTGATTCTTGACTGATAAGAACTGCTTCTGAAAAGAAGGAACTAATGTAATGAGCTGTGCTCAATCAATTATATAAACTATTTCATTACACTTCACAGATTTCAATCACTTCATTCTTGAACATGTCTACTCTGATTCTCAGTCATTCTCAATCACTGATCCTCAGCCACTACTAACACATATAGATTCTTCCGCCCCGAAGCTCCACTGCGTACACCACCACATACGCGTATAAATATCCACTTCAATCATCAATTCTCACACTTTCTCTTTCTTTTCCTTCTCTAACATTTTTCTCTTTGTTATATAAGACCTATAAATATTATACCGATCTATTCGGCGTAGGCCTCTTACACTCAGAAGCCTGTTTGAACAGCAGAGACCCTTGCTTATACATAGACATTTGAGTCTACTCAGTTCATGACATCTGCATTATTGTTCTTTGACACAGGTGTATGAGTGTAATGTCTTCTATCACTGTTCTATATATCCTTGAGCTTGATAAGACAGTCATTCAATGTCTGGAGTTGTATGCAGAAGCCTTCATAAGTCTGGTCTTTTGTCTACACTTTGCGCGTGCCAAGCCATAATTGGGAAACAGATGTCAACACCTCGAAGAATTCATATTTGAAAACCAAACATGCAACAATGGACCTTTCTGAAAGTCTTAGGCATTCTAGCGAAATAATAAATAATGTTGTATGACATCAACACTAGCGCGAGCAACCAAAATGCCAGACAGTCAAGACACAATCTGGACACAGTCGTGCATTAGGAATGTGGAGGCCCGTAAAATTATCGAAGGATCAGTACGTACGGGGCCTCCACTCTATTGTCCCTAAACACAACACCCAAAAACCTAACTCACTCCAGCTTCAACATGGAAAGGCATGAATGGGTGGGTAGTTCCATCCTGATGACATGTATGGGCTGGCTAACCATCCTTAGAAAGAGGATATTCGACGACGTCTATTTGAACTGGGTCAAGTCCTTGAGGGACAGAAGGAGTCGAGAGTTAGTAATCATCTGTCCTGATTAAACTGGGTACTGATTGAAATGCCAGACCCTTGGTGAATATTTCAAAGGTGTGAGTGCCGACCTGGTTAGGGACAGGACTTTGAACTTCGATGATTTTCAGCAATACTGGTCTCGTCACAAACGGCGTGCTGCTTTAAGGGATGTGAAAAGGCGAACCTCAACACGCGACCGACATGCTCGGGACGACAATACATCCAGACAATTTGAAGACGAGAGCGATATTGATGAGATACTTTCCATCACAGATACTTGGGATGTGCGATCAGATGAGCTGGAGGCATTGAAGGATGATGTTCGGCAATGTCTGGATCAGGATCGAGACTTCTTCAAGCTTTCGGAGGCATCTACGTAACACCAGGTTAGAGAAAGGTCTTTCTCTTCAGCTGAGGATGAACTAATGAATGGGAATCAGGTCGAAGATACTTCTGAAGATGATCTTGTTGAGGCAGTAAAGGCTTTCAATTCAGTTGAAAAAGACGCGAATGGTGCCTACCGGGTTTTCAGAAAGCAGGTACTGGCCTTGAAGCTTCGGGCATTAGAGGCTAATGCCGGAAACTATTGTGCTGGGAAAAGTATTAAGCGCGATTCACGCGTAATAGTTTACGTTTCGGAGAAGTGCTGGTCGAATCTTCCTTCTACAGCACAAAAATCAAAGACAACAAATCTCGCACGCTGGCGTGGTCATGGAGAAAAATGGCTTTCACTGGTAGAACCTTCAATACCTATGTCTTTCCGCCATATCCCAAGTGACCATCGGTGCTTTGGCGACTTTGAACGACGACGTCGGCAGACTCCAGAATTCGATGCTGTTATCAGCACGTTACAGGCCGTGTGTATCATTCCTGACTTGAGGAAACTATGGTGTCGTCAATTGATCCGGAAGCGTGTAGAGTCTGAGCATCATCCAGGGCGCTGTTTTTGCAAGAATACTGACTGTCCGGAGACTGAATCTATAGGGCCCCAACAGTCTGATCCTGCCATGACAACCAATGCTGAGGACTTAGCCGCGCAATCCAGCCATGTTAGCATCACATTCATGCCCACTGGGGGGCAGATGCGGCGTCCCTCGAACAGGTCACATCATTCTTTTATGCGTCAAAGGCACATTCGATCCGCACTGGCAGGATCCAAGCGCCCGCGTACCCTTTCTGATGATGATGAGGAGGAGGAACGCGGTCCCTCTCCCATTGTTGGTGGTGTGAGCATTTCGCTTGCCAATAATAACGGTCGGCCTTTGGTCTCGAACATTCCAATGCCATCAGCTGAAATGCTGACATCTCACGGTAAGTCCCAATTTATCCCCACACTACAAGAGGCGCAGAGCGGTTTGTGTCCTGGATTGTCACGCCTGTTGCTTCTTGCGAAGCATAAATTAACTAAAGCATATAGTTCCGCCATCACACGTCGATCCTTGTGGGGCTCTTGCTCAGCAAGACTCATGTATTGAGTCCATGCGACGAGCAGAGTTCTTTGACCTTATGCGGCAAACGAACACAGCAGACTCTTTATCACAGATGAACCTCGATCTTTCACGGCAAACGAACACAGCAGACTCTTTACCGCCGGTGGACTTCGATCTTTCGCAGCAGATGAACATGTCAGACTCTTTGCAGCATGAGTTTGATCTTATGCAGCAATCAATGCTGATGCAGTAGACAGATAATGAAATTTCATTGACTCAGGAGCCAGTTAATATTATTATGTACAAGGAATGGACTGATCATAAGGCGCATAAACAAGCCAAAACATCCCGTAAAACATTATTCAACATCCAGTATAATGAATGGCCCCAGTTTACCGTCTGTCGGGATCTCAAGATTGCACCGCCCGTAAACATCATAACATGACCTTAGCTCCACAGATGTTTCATTAATCTTCACATCTCCGCGCACATAGAAGGGTATGAGCATCATGTATGGTTTTCCAACAGTGTGTATTCCCGGGAAAAAGACCGTAACATTACGCCTGCATTTTTTTGACTTTCTCGGCCTATATTTGCTTCGATCGGCGGTGGCGCTCTGTATAACAGTAAGGAATGGCCGCTTGTTGCATCATGGGCGCGCTTACTTCTTGGTATATTTTCTCGGCTTCGGTCAAGAGCTGCCACCCAGATCCGAAAATGGCAAGAACCACATAGTCATAGCCAGATGTTTTAGGGTGTGTGAGGTCATTCGCGATACTTTCATGGTTGTAACTTCGCAAATTGCTCACTCACTGTGTTAAATGAGCATTTTGGCGGTTCTACGGAAATGCCATCAAAGATGAGGTCACGTTTGGTTTCGATCGCGTGACCGCAAAAGCTTGGCGTGCCTCTTGACCAAATCAAAAACAACTGAGAACCCTATCAATGCATAACATACCTTCGATGCTTGCATTCCGGGCCGTGCCACACAAGGCAACATCTAGGGCTATTTTCCATCCAATCATGTCACTGAATCTCTTAAGCATTTATTGTCTTGGCATTCAAGATGGCTGTGTACAAGCAGAGGTTATTGGATATCGCGATATCACCAACATTGCTGAACTTCGGGGCGGTTTGATCTTTGAACAGCGCCACAGCTTTCAAAGCACACCCTCTAGCACCAAATCCTCTTTGAACCAATCATTCGCATGGCCTTCCACTCGGCCTCGTCCGAGTACCAGCGAAACTTTGTCATAGCTGAGGGCGAAACTGCATCCGTGACATGCGTGGTCAAGATCATGCGCTGAGAAGCTGTGTTTTGGTAGTTCGACAATAGAAAGAGACAGCGTATTGACAGAGGTTGCCGTGAAACAAGGCCAATGTGCGGAAATTTGATTGTTAAAATGAAAGGCATGGGAAATCGTACCTCTTAGTTAACCATGATAGAAAGTCGAAAACTTCTGGGGACTGGCGAGCGATGTTCAGCAATCGGTTTGGATGTGGGTTCGCTGGGAGGTCACCAAGCTACAAGGTCAAAAGCTGAGGTAGTCCAGTGTTCAGAAAGAGCGAATGGGGCCCCAGGGCTTTCCACTCCATGGTGCACGACAGTTGGGCAGCAACCAGTTTCGCCAGCAAAATTGGTTGGGGTTGGATCAATGCCCAACTCTTCTCCCAAGTATCGAAGGCGGGGCACAATCGACTGCATAATGCTAGACTCCAGCGGAGCTCGAAAATATGTCGAAATTAAGTCGAAAAAGTATCAAAATGTCCATCTTCAAAAGTTCAAGTGGGGAACGGAACAATTCTCGTCCCACTGAGGCTGGATGGGAGACAACGGCAGCTTTGGGGTGCCTTTCAAAGCCAAAAGATGATTGTCTTTTGTCCATCTTCTGCCATTGGAGATACCATCTCGGAATTTGGTCACGACATAGTCTCATGTACACACAGAAAAGGCTAAGCGATAGTACTGTTGGATGGAGCCAAGGACTTCTGTCTTCACGGCCTAGAATGTTTGATTTTCATTGGGTGGTTTTGCAATCTCAGGCGACAGATGCGGGATGACGGAGCAGGCTGGAACATGCCATTAGAAGAGTCTGCAGCGTCTCCAGGCACCTCAGGCAAATACGGTACCACCAAGCGGGCCGCAACTGGATTTTGACTTGCCCTGTTCTTCGGACAAGCTCGCCAAAGAAGGCCTAGGATGATGTCCTTGTCCACGATGACACTTGAACATAACGACAGGCCATCCAGAGCAATACGCGATGCGATGGAAAAAACTAGCCCCAATCAAAATAAATTTGTTATCGAGGGACCGGTATGATGTGTTCTCAGCCAATCATGCCATTCCAATCATGCCATTGCATCTTTGAGGCATAACCTCATTTATTATCCTGGCATGCAAGATGTTTGCATACAAGTACCAGTCTTGGGTTGGTCAGCACGTCACTGTCGATGAACCATGCCATGGTGAAGCTATAAATCATCTGCCAGCTCAAGAGGCACCTGTTCATCAGTGTTATTGTATTCTTCAGACACTTACCCACCTTAGCCAGACTTTGTGACAACTTCACCACTGCATCTACCCACAATGTCTGGCATTGATCCCAATACTCGAAGGGAAGTCAATAAAGCAATCATCGACTCCGGGGCCGCCATTGTTGGACAAATGGTTGCCGCTGCCAACTCCTCTGTTGAGAAACGTCGTAGGAACAAAGAGGAGCGAGAAAGACGCGAGGCTCAAGTGAAGGCTGCCAAGGAGAAGGCAGATGCCGCTGTTCGTGCTCAACCCCGCCCTTTCAAATGACCTTGGCATGTACTGACAGTTTCTAGAAGCGCGGCATATCTGGCTAGACATGGGCTACTCAAGAGCCTGGGCAAGACCCATGGCCTCACGTGTGGTCTGCACTCTTGCCTTTACCAATCTTGTCAACCTAAGTGGCTAACAGCGGAAAGCACCTGCAGCAAGAAGGCTCTCTCTACTGTCGTGCCCGCAACATTCTCATCATTTGATACTGTCTTTACTGTCTCGGACATTTTACTTTGCAGCCTGGCTGGGAGAGGGAGAACAAGGGCTTTGGTAAATCTGTGCTCCTTGGGCAACCAATATCAACTGTTTCTCTCTGAAAGTACTTCTCCATTTCAATTTAGTCAATAAAATGGGCAACTTTAACCATTTCCAACACTTTAAAATGTAAGAGGATACATTTAACCAAATTCGTACGGTCAATCTAGAGTCTTTGAGCATTTTCAAATTGGTTTATTGCTGCAGGGAAGAAATTCCTTGGCGTAGGGTCTGGTATCTCTTGCGACTACAAAAAAAATACTTGGGGCACTACTTTCTGTTTTAACCCACACCGCCAGGGAGTTTTTCCGCCCGAAGTTTGAATGCACGCCAAAACCTCTCACGTCTCGCAACCAGCTCCCTTACCAGATTTGTGTTCACCCCAGTGCGTGCTTAACCCCAACCATTTCTCCGACTTTATGGATACCAACGCGGTTATCGATCTCGTCCACGAGGTGCAGGGCCAGCTCTGGGTCGACAAGGTGAACGAGACTCACAGAACAGGCCGACTCTGCCGGTGGGTGTCGACTTTCCATCCCCACAATCTTCCCTGTCAACTCGACGGCACCTTTCACCATGGTGCATTTAATGCCGGCATGAAGATGGTCTTCAGCGACGGCACTGCCTGGATGATCCGTTTCCCTCGTGTAGGGATGGTCAGTGACAATTACGCCGACGAGAAGGTTGCCATGGAGGTGACCGCCCTGAGTCTTATTCGTAACAAAACTACCATTCCTGTCCCCAGAGTCCAGGCATGGGGTGTTGCTGCCGGCAACCCACTTGGTTTGGGTCCGTTTATTATGATGGACTTTATCAACGGTGTGAGCCTCAGCGACCTTCTCAATAATCCCAATGCCGAGCGCCCTACTAGACTCATGAGGGAGGATATCAATGATAGTGATATTGAAATTATCTACCGGCAATTGGTGAATTATCTGCTTCAGCTTTTCAAGCTTGATTTTGACCGGATTGGTAGCTTGCCATGGCCGGGGGTTGACGCCCAAAGCGCGACACTGGCACGCCCGCTAACCTTTAAGGCACATAGTATCCTACAAAATGGAGGAGTCAACACTTTTGGTATGTCATGTTGCTTTCCCCTTCTCTCTCTAAGCTTGGATGTACATTCACTAAACAAATGATTTATAGGCGACCGACGCCAGGGGTATACAACAACAACTGAGTATTTTCAATATGTTGTTGGGCAAGACTGGGCGCAGCTTGTTCAGCAGCCAAACTCGACTGTTGGTTTATACGATGCGAAAAACAAATACATGGCGTTTCAGGTTCTAAAAGCCCTGATACCTGACTTAGTCAATGCCAAGTATGACCGTTGCAAGTTCAAGTTGATTTGCGATGATCTTGGTTTGGCCAACCTGATTGTTCGAAGCAAGAAAGATCTCACCGTCATTGGAGTAGTGGATCTTGAGTGGTCATACGTTGGGCCTGCCCAGTTGTTTGGCTCGGCACCGTGGTGGCTTCTTCAAGACAGACCTGTCAACAGCGCATGGGATTGTGAGGATGACAAGCCGCCCAAGATTGCCGCCCGGTACTTTAAGTGCCTAAAGTCTTTTATACGAATTTTAGAGGAGGAAGAGGAAAAAATTCCAGGACATGAAGAGAGAGAGCTCTCTAGTCTTGTCAAGTGGTCACAAACCTCTGGAGCCATGTGGCTGCACATGCTCCTCTCTTCCGGCTTTAATGATTATTGCAGCTTTCCTTTTACACAGCTGCGCCGACATTTTCACACTGAGTGGCTGAAGCGCGAGGAGGAATTTAACAACACGGAAGAGCTTGAGGCATTTGCGGTGCGGAAGGTGAGCGAGTTGGAAGAGTATGATCAGGCCTTGGAGAAGAGAGAGAAAGATAAAGCGCTTGTCGACAGTGGGATGATGACAAAGGAGGAATTTGTTGCCAATACTCTGACATCAGAGTCAGACTCTCCCGCCTGGTCCTCATCGTTTGTAGTCAACAATGAGGCGAGAAATGACAAGGGGCTGTTCCAGAAGGTAGCAGCTACCTGGCTCTGGTCAGTCTTCTTCTGGCTCGAAGAAAGGCCACAAGCCCATGTCTCGCCACACTGCACCTTTGCAAAGCGATCTCTACAGCAGCTTTCGACCCTCAAACGAAAGTTCCTATCATGCGTGCAGCGCATGTGGGCAGCAATCATCTTAGCCTGTTGGAGGATTAGTGCCACCATTCGCCCAACGTGCAGACTCTAGCCATCGCCGTGGGATGTCCATAATCTCGAAGTTTTACGAGCTCGGCTGCACTTACATCGACTGTGACGGGAGATCTCTTGGGAAGGCTGGAACTCATATCATGATTGAGAAGTTTCAGGCCTGCGGCCCATCCATATGCTGCCAGCATTTCCACTCGAATACCACCCCGATCAAGCAGGGGTAAGGCAAAAGTGTATTGAATGCGGGAAGAAATTTTGTGGGCTAGTTAGGACGCATATCCGGCAGTGTAACGGAACAGCATTTTTCATGCACAAAGGGAAGCCAGTGCAGGTCAAGGTCAACAGACATTGGCATCGATGCCGCATTCTTCTACGAATTTAATCCCAATTATTACCGCCCGCGTGTTGAAATATCTAGCTCAATGAGGTCAGACACCAACGGAAATATTTGGTTTGACTTAGGCGAACTCGAGGAGGAGCAGCATATGAAAGAAAAGGAGAAATTCAGGAGGACAGACAGCCTCAACATGACTGATGATGATTATCTGATATGTTGTCCCTCGGTTCCCGGCTTTAGTTTCGCGGAGAATGATTTCTGTAAGCCCTACCCTTCCATCCTAATTTTCATAGCAAGCCTGACACAGTTCTAGACGAGTTTGCTGTTGATGACATTTGTGATGTCAAGTGGTCACCTGGTCTTCTTGGGAACCTAACAATTCCTGACAAGAAGAAACGCACACTAATGGCCCTTGCAAGAACCCGCCTGGAGGTTGTCCCTTCCCTTCCATTTGATGATTTTGTGGCGGGTAAAGGGCGTGGCTTGAATGTTCTTCTCTAGTATGTCTTATAGCCTTTGATTTGTTACGCATGCTAACGACTCAGTGGCCCGCCGGGAGTGGGCAAGACTCTAACTGCCGAAGCCATGTCGGAGTATTTTGAGCAGCCTCTTCACCTGGTAAGACCAGTTCCCGTCGAGGGCCTGTAATGTAGACTAACCTTTTAGATACCCGCTGCCCAATTGGTCGCGAATCCTACTAAAGTTGAGGACAATCTCACTCGTATCTTTCAAATCGCTAAGCGGTTCGATGCCCTTCTTTTGTTAGATGAAGGCGATGTCTTCCTCGGACGCCGGGCATCTATCAACGCATGCAAGGACGCTACTGTTACAATATTCCTTTGCAAGCTGGAGTACTTTCAAGGAATCTTTTTTCTCACAACGAACCGGGAAACAGAGTTCGATGAGGCAGTCCTTAGCAGGATTCATCTGAAGATCAGATACAAAAAGCTGAGCCAGCCTCAACAAAGGGATATATGGAGGCACTTTATCTCTTGAGCATGTACGCATCAAGGACCAGCAGAGGTGGGTGATATGGACCGCCTCGCGAATTTAGACCTCAACGGGCGGGAGGTAAGTCTGAAGAAACCGTTTCGGTTCGGGTCCTGGCTAAAATTGCAAGTTAGATCAAAAATCTCATGTCCATTGCACATGCGCTTGCGACGGATGATGGCGGCTGTGTTAACTATAAATATATTGAGCAAGCCTCAGTCTCAAACGAGGAATATTCTCGAGAGTTTAATCGTGTCAGTACCATGTACAGCTGACGGATCTTTGTATGGTTTCACATTCCTCTTGGTTCATTCTCCTTATTTTTTTTGTTCTGATGATGGACTCGTCCACTAGTTCTGAGCTGTAACTAGTGTCTTTTGCGGAGCTAAAATAGTACTGGTTTATACTGAATGCGGCCCTGGAGAATTTGCTGTGAAAGATGTCGAGCCTAGCCGTTTCTCAACCACAGCATTCGACCTTTCACTCTCCCTGGGGATTAGAAAGAAGTGATTCAGTGCCTCACTGAGAGCCGAGTCAACGTGCCGAATGAAGCAAGCTTTGACGATGTTATTGAAGATCTTGCCAGCAAAGCTCGTCCGCTGATTGAGACGCTCAAGTGCGGAAGGCTGCTTGCGACTATGGGTGTTCGATTGCCTTGGAGGAATAGCGTCAGAGAGCTTTGATATCAACAAAGAGAGCCTCTGGTTTGTTTCTGTTGTCCTTGAATTTCTTCTGGTGAACCGCGAGCAGCTCGGATTCGACCCTACCGTCGTCACCCATGGAACAAAGCGTTACATCACAATCAAGAAGGACGGCGGGAAGTAACAGCTGGTCATTGACGAGGTCATTGGGCGAGCGCGCTGTGTCGCCGGCCGGGCTACCACATGCTGGAAGGTACATCGCGAGGACGAGCTGCAAGCCCGCAGTATCCAGAGCGCGACGAGGAAGGGGAGCTTTTGTATGAAGCAGCGGCTCATGGGGTGACCCATGTCGCCCGGTACTACCACCATGAGACCGTCCGCGTCGACGGCAGGGCTGATGACGTCTTGGGTATTCGAAAAGGCCTACTCATCCCAACGACAGGCCAAAAGAGAGCTGGCGCAAAGCCTGCCTCGGGCCGGAGCAGGTCCCGCCAAGCACATAAGGACTCAAACAGCATTACAGGGCAGAAACGGTCTTCGGAATGTGTGGACGCAGCGTTACCCCCGCCACCCAGCAAACGCACCCAGTCAAGCTCTCCGACGAAACACCTGACCGACGGAAAACCACAGAATCGTGTGCACCGCCGCGTTGTTGTCCGGGACTACGGGAAACATATCTTTGAGAGTAGCTCAAGGATCGCGTTGCTTGTGGGTATATGTCTCTTTACCAGAACGCTGGCCTCGTGCAAAGTGATATCTCCCACCGAAATCTACTTGTGAATGAGGACAAGGATAACCCTTCCTACCGGGCATTCTTGATTAACCTCGACCTCGCGATCAGAGTGGAACGGGATGGCTTCTCCCAAGCGCGCGGTAAAACCGGCACAAGGGCATTCATGGCGATCGGCGTGTTGTTTGGAGAAAAGCACTCCTTTATGCACGACCTTGAATCTTTTTTTTGGGTGCTCTTTTGGGTATGCATTCACTATGATGGCCCTGGGAAGGGAAGGGACGGGTGGTCAAGGACTTTGAAGAGTGGAACTACGTCAACACAGACAAGCTGGCCGGGGCGAAGAAAAGAGTGATCAGCAATGAAGAAGACTTTCTCAGGATTGTAGAGGATAATTTTACTCTGTTTGATCGGCCATTGGTCCGTTGTGTCAACCGGTTACGCCGACTTGTCTTCCCTGATGGCGGACGGTGGAAGAAGTTGAATCCCGATCTACCAGGAAGCCATGATCAAAGAGCTGCAACGTGTGCAGGAAGAGCAGGATGTTGTAGGCGAGCAGTGATATTTCTTGAATCATTGTTCTGGAATATCTACAGGCCAAAGTTCTCTATTACTGTACATTTCATAGTCGTACTCTCGATGACATTCCCGATGCTTCACAGCCAGGGGCCTTTCTAGCGGCACACATCAAGTAGATGTCCAGCCACTGCCAGAAACCAGCAGCAGAGAATTACATCTCTGCCCCTGCATCATCTATCTTATCACAACTGGTAGCGCGGGTGTGGCAGCAGCGGGTTCCTTCGAATGAGCGCCTCTCTCCGCGTCTTTGTTTCTAAGTATCGAGTGCCGCTGGCGCAGCACCGCCGCTCCTTGAGCATACCCAGTAGGTGTTTCCTCCTTGAGAGTCCATCGCCGCGGCCTTTCTCCATATCCCTTCCTCCTCTTGCTCTGCCCGCACCGGATCACCTCGGTTTTCTCACCCAGACCTGGACTGACACTCGGCCGCACACACTCTCTGAGTCTACGCCACGTCGACAGGAGCACTGGCTCCGAAAACGTGTTCAGGAGGGTGATCTACAAGTTGAATGGATCCCCAAAAATTCAATGCCCACGGACGGCGCATAGGGACATAAGTGAGTCTTAAAAGAGAGTTTTTTAATCTACTTCTCTACCCGGGCCTTCCTTGGCCTGCCTGCTTTCTTCGCCACTCTTTTTACATGAGGGCTCCTGCACACAAGTCTCACTCTTTCTACCTCGTCAAGGGGGAACTCGTCTGCGGGCTCCCAGGTGGAGTGCCACGCAACGCGAACGAATGGTTTTCCATCTCTCACCTCATAGCCGATGAGGCCTCTGTATTGCCAAACCAGGCTGCTTCCATTCAGCGGACGGCTGCCCCTTGACGTGCCATGATGTTCAGCAGGGGAGATCGGTGGAATGTCCCTCTTTGGCCGCTTTGGTTTGCGAGCAGTATCGTTGGTCGTGCAGGTCATATCAACCACCTCGATGGTGTTGTATTCACCACCCTCTAGCCTGGATGCATGTTCACGCTTGCGTTTGGACGCCCGAATGAGGGGGACTGCATCATCTTCTTCCGATCCATGCTCTTGCTTGACCATGCGTTCCAAAGACACCTTGGACTGTTTCTGGTTACTTGGACCATCCAGTAGTCTTCCCAGAGATAGTATCTGACTAGGATACATCGCCCCTGGTGGTGGTCCCGTCTTCCAAGCACAGGGTGTCATCGGTGATTATGATCGGCGTATCTGGTGTATATTAGAATCATAGAGACCAAAAATATGAATAGACATTATTACCTTCAGAGGCTCCAGGCTCTGCCGGTGTATGAGGGTTTATGGTTCGCAGGGCGGATTCCACATCTTTAGAAGAATGCCGTGCAGGTGGTGAGGGTAGCGACATGGCCAGCGTGGTTCTCTCATTAAGGGTCTCATGCAAAATACTGTCATTGGTACCAGCATCCCTAAGGATCGCTTGATCTGATATGTTTAGATTAGAATTGCAGAAATAGATTCACAGCTTCGAAAAGACCAACCTTGGCTGTCTTGAAAGCAGGGAGCCTGAGTCTCCGGTATCTCCTCATCGTACATTTGGTCATTCCAGCCCCTATTGCCAGACGACACATGGCCCTGTCGAGCGCCCTTGTGTTCATCGGGGAAACTGGTACATATGAGAGAATTACGAATGGCGTCGGCCGAGACGGTGGTAGCTCGTGTATTCGTCCTTGATTTTTCATGGCTATTTTTGCCGGCCCAAGGGGAGCACATTCGCTGACGGGACGTTTCGTCAGAATCAAAATAGGTATCAACATCTGGCATGCCACGATCATCATCATCGGAGAAAAGGCCGCAGAGTGGATCTTCATCATCGCTGGCTGGCCCACAGGCTGGCCCACAGGCTGGCTCTGAGGCAGTGAGGGCGGTGGCGATTCCATACTTGACGTTTTTATAATTTGTATAGGAGATGTTTCGTGAGACTCCGAGGCCTTTTTTGTAGAGTGACTGATTTGGAAATTCACAGTATCGTTCATTTTTACGGCCTTTAGTGGTTCGTACGGGATGAAACGAAGGGCTGGCTGAGAAGCAGGAAACACCATCTGAAAGCTGTCCATCTTCTCAATGGTGCGTATGAAAGATTGAGCAGAAGAAATGTAAAAGTGGCGGAAAACACAGCAGTTTTATGTTGCTATTGAGGTTGGACGTCCTGGCGGCAGAGAACTCTCTCAGTTCCTCCCGTTCCACAGGCCCTAGAACTAAAGCTATTTCAATGTAACCACATGTTGAGTGCCTCCATTCCTGGACGGAAAAGCTGCCCCCAGGCGAGGTAGAAATGGCGACTCATCCAATCATGACCCGACCGTCCCACACTCATTGATCCATGGCGAGCTGAGCAATCCCGGGAACGACAAAAATGCCTTGCGGTCTCCGCGGAAAGGAAGGACTTTCGGGCTTTGTCCGGGAAATGAAAGGCGGCGCAGCCGCTGGGTTTCAATACTAATGCAGGAAACCCACCTTGCAACGCAAGCTCGCTTGCGAATCACAAGGTAAGAGCAAGTTCTCGTGACAATGTGCGTGAGGGGCTAGCCAGGTAGTCTCTGCAAGCCTTCCAGCTACACCCTTGTGACAGCTAAAAAGGGGTAGCGTGACCAGAGATTCGCGTCCCATGATTCAAAGTCGATCCGAATGAAGAGGCCACGTCAGCAGTCAGGGCCATCGCCCGGATTCTGCCAGGCAGCCTCAATTGTCCATCCCTGCGCTGCGACAATAGCCACTCTGATCGGAAAAGGGGTTTTGATTGCTCTCGATGTAGCCAATGGAAGCAGGGCTACAGCTGCAAGTCGTACAACAGTGCGCCATACCCTGGCAAACCCTGATGAAACCTGAATTCCAGGGTGAATGGGGGCAGAAGCGGTACGATTCGGACGGCGGAGACATCAACAAAGTAGTAAGAATGATCGATGGTCAAGGCATCAAGAGCCAACTAAATTCTTAACATAGCAGTAAGAAAATCAGAGCAACCAGAGGACATTTAATGTAGGATGAAAACCAAACCAGTGGTGGACAGCGTGCAGATGTTGTTTTGAGGCACGCCGCGGCGGTGGTTGGGCGGGAAGGTAGTGTGGGCAGTGTACCACGTACGGTGAGCGTAGGCTGAGGCGGCGGGAAGAAAAAGAGTAAAATGGACGATCGAGCGAAACGACAGAAGCAGCGAGGGGATGGCGGTATTTATAGGCGGGCAAAAGGAGTGAGGGCTGTAATTAACGCTAGGCCCGATCGGGGGCGGCTGTATCTGGATCGGAGGCCGTTTCCCGACGCGGCGACGGTCAAAGGTGAATAACATAAGAGATAGAAATAGAGATAAAGATGTTGGGGGTCCCGCGGTTGGTCGGCCCTTCTACCAGCAGTGCGCTGGTGGTGATCGAGCTCTTTTGCCCCAGTAGCCTACAGGTTATGAGACCGTTGAGCGTGAGCCCCGCTGTGGTCAACATGCATGGGTTTGATCCCAGAATGGACTTAAAAATTCCTAACAAATACCCTGGACATTTTAGCAGTGCCAAGAGACATCCCAGGAGTGTGCCCTAGAAGTCCCTTTGAGCCCTAGGACTGAGTGGTCCAGTCCATTATTAAAAGGAGCCATTGTGAGAAGGCCACTGAAGGGAGCCACTGAGGGGAAGTACTGTACTCTGTGATAGCTGGTCCGAGAGGGGGTGTTAGAGGTTCTGTGGTTGATCGGCCCTTCTACCAGCAGTGCGCTGGTGATGATCGAGCTCTTTTGCCTCAGTAGTCTACAAAAGAATCTGTGAGAAGTGAGATGTCTTACATATCTCTTTCTCTCTAAGATATTATCTGTGAAGTCTTTTACTGAGTGATTTCATAGAATCAAGCTCAGTACTGCAGTAATACTCACTAAAAACTCTTCATATCTATAAAAAATCTCAGTGAGAAAGAGACTATGATATCTATCTGAGAACTTTTAGTTCTCAGAGTTTTTCTAATATCTATAGAGTTAACTATTATATATTTATCAATTTCAGATATATAAAATCAGAAAATTTCAACTCAGAATATAAAAACTCTTTTATAAATTACAGTATTTTAATATCTTCTAATACTTTGAAATTATTTAGAAATATTATAATAAAAGAAAAGAAAATAAAGTCTTAAAGATAGATATACTAAATAAATAGATAAGAAAAGAATAGAAAAGAAAAAATAAAGTAAAAAAAGACTATAATAAAATAAAATTATTAAAAGATAGTATATAGCTATTTTAATAAATTATATTTAATTAATTTTTATCTCTTTATATTTAGATATTTCTGAATTTAGTTATTTTCTTATAACTGTTTAAGTTTCTGATAGAAAGTTTATTAAGTATTTAATTTCTATTTCAGTTAAGAATAAGAATCTTATATTTAATTAATTTAAATTATACTTCTCTTTTAATCTGACTCTGAAACTATTATATAATATATAGTGTATTATAATATACTCAGAATTTTTATTTATATTATAGAATAAGTATTCTATTAAATTAAATCTATTATTAAATTTTTATATATAGAATTTAAAATAATTATATTCTAGTTTCAGCTAAATTATAGATGAGAATATTTTCTTTTTATATTTAATTAAATAAGATTTTTACTTAAGTTATATTTTAAATCTTGAATAATATATACTATTCTTTTATTTTTATCAGTTTTTATTTTATTTATTTAAATACTATTCTTTTATCTTTCTCTTTATAAAAGATTAGAAAACTGTTTTTTAAATAAATCTATTTAATTCTAAACTCTTTTTTACAGCTGAATCAGTCAATGTATTATTATAAATATTTATATATAAGTAAAAACTCAGTATAAATAAATTATTAGTTTTAATATTCTTTTCTTTTAAATTTTTAAAACAGAATTTAAAATCAGTTTAAGATTTATTTAATTATTATAAATCTAACTATTTCTAAGTCTATTTAAAACAGTTTAATTATTAGAGAATATTTATATCTCTTTTAAATTATTTTCTCTTTTATAAGATTTTATTTCAATGAGTTTGAAAGCTTTTATTATTATAAATAGTTCAGTATCAAAGACTTCAGATTCATAGTTTAAGTTTTAGAAATTTAAGATAAAATTAATATTATCTTCAGTATAAGTAATGTTTATATTTAATCTATTTAAAGTCTTATTTTTTAAGTTGTGATTCGGAAGAATGTACAACTGCTGAATAATAACACAGCTGCTTTCAAACATGCTTATAAATATAAAGAGATTATAGCAGTCATTAATTAATTTAGTATACTGTATATAAGAAGTCAGTGTATATCTGTAATTGTACACTAACTTAAGAAACCTTTGAATCACATCTGATAGTATGTTTAAAAACTGATGAGAAGTGCAGACTTCTTCAGAGTGTAATAATTCTGTTTACAAAGTAATTCATAGTTATTATATCAGTGTAATTCTAAAACATTTTAAAAGATAGTGTATAAAGAGTGATAAGCAGAAGAGCATCTGATTAATACTGTTTCACTTATTAAGAAAAAAACTTCACACTCAGGCAAATACTATGTATATGAATAGAAGAGATGTGAAAAAGAGAATGAGAGTAATAAATCAGATTCAAAGAAGTCTGCTCTCTACTTAAAAGAAGAATAAAAAGAGAGATAATTATTATCAGAGTTATATAATAATAACAGAAAATAAAAATCAGAAATTATATAATGATATAATAATATAATAATAAACATTGTATAATTAGTAAGAAATCACTGAAATGAATATCTTCTCTAGTTAATATAAACACTCTTCCCTGCTATATGAACTGAAAGATATACAGAATCTCTCAGAGAGTTTATTCAAAGCAGTAAGAAAAGCAGCTAAGACTATTAAATCAGAAGTGAAACTCTGTACATATACAAGAATTCTAAATGAGATTAAGATCTTATATACATAGTGACAGGCTGAGACAGAAGCTAAGTAACAATTAATATTCACTGTGAATTAAGTATTTACTATGAAGAGCTTCACTGATACAATCATTATCATTAATAAAAATAGAGAAAATCAGGTTTTAGACCTGTAGTAAGAGATTAAATATTTACACAGATAGTGTAATGTGACGGAACCGAAGCAGTGACTAGTTAGCGGTGACATGTAGAAGTAGTTGTTTGAGAAGCTGTATAAGTGAGCTTGACTATCTTACTTGAATAGTGAGCTCATATGCTACAGAGTTATTGTGAGAATATCACAGATATGATACTTAGTATACTAAGAAGATTGTATAAGACATGCAGTAACTCTTGTATATATTTCTGTAGAAGTAAAAGAAACAAATCACTGATTTCTTTGATAAGAAGTCAGTATCTAGCTATTCTATATAGATAATGAGCAGATACTCTTCTCTCATTTTATAAGTGAGAATAGCTGAAGTGATATCTCAGCAGCATCTCATTGCTAAGAAAGAGTAATCTGCTGATCTTGTATAGAAGTGAGATTCTTATATTTATCAATTGAATCTTTCTATGATATATCTGAATAATATCATAGAGTGATTGAAAACTGATTCAGTCAGTCTGCAGAAGAAATGAAATTATTCACATGAAAGTGATGAGCTATGTGAAACTATAACAGAGTCTTGATATAACTGAGAGTATGATAATACTCTTCTCTTTAAGAGCATAGTCTCTATACTCTCAAGATTATCAGATTAGAAATTATCTTTATTATATAGTAATAGTTATCAACTGATTAACAGTATATATACTGTGTATGATATAAAGAAATAGATGAGTTTTTCTGCTAACTGTGTAGATCTTTCTTTTCTCATCTTCATTCAAATCAAATGTGTGATAAGTGAGTTCCTTATATATCAATTTAAAATATGAAAAACATAATTAATAAGTGACTTACAGATCTCTTAATATATTCTATTCTATATATGAAATTCTCTGCAAAAGTGATGTATTTTTAGAGACAAAGCTAACAGTAGTGATAGGATTTTTCAAAAAGATTTTCTCTCTCTGTGATAC